TTTAAAACAGCAAGATTTATGAGATATGGCATGGCCCAATACTTCAAATCCATTTGATTAAAACAGCTTCACAGGCTGTGTGTTTATGTAGGGGACTTGTTAAAGGTCTCTTAAACATGCCTGTCCATTTGTTTCCCAGAAATGATTCCAATTAGTAGAGCATGATATTAATTTGCCGATGAATTATTTTCCCCCAGGCAGTGTTTTTATTTGAAGAAAAATAACTGATGAAGAATACAGAATAAATGCATACATGTGGACCTATTTGAGAGGCAAAAGTAAATTTTTTTTGCGGAGATTTTGAGTATCCAGTACAAATTATAAGCAGGAGTTTTTGAAAGACTGGCTTGAAAGCATTGTCACAAAGGTGAGAGAAATTTTATACTTCTCTGTGAGGAGTTCTAAGTGAACTACTGAGTGCTTCTTGAAAACGGCCTCTCTTTACTGGGACCACAAATGTATAGGAATGTGTTTGTATGAAAGTAAGTAGAATTGTATTATGTAAACATGCATATAACGATATTCATTAATTCAATAAATACACATCTATGTGTGGTAGCTGTATACTAGAGCTTCTGGGAGAAAAAAAGCGTGCTTTGTGCTTGTGCTGATTACATAAGCAAAACTAATGCATTTGCAATTTATTCCTCCAGTCGTCCAATTAAAAAAAAAAAAAAAAAAGAATCTCCAAGGCCTTAGTTGCTTGCTTTCATGAGGGCAACTTACATTAGTCCAAAGTTTGAGCAATCGAAAATCATCAGAGATTTGTGTGTGCTTACTGATAGTTATAGTAGTCAGCACTGTTTGTAAAAATGAAGTTGCTCATGGAAATGCGAACGCAGCTGCAGTGGATCGAAGCAAAGGTCCTTCTTAAGGAGCTCCTGTCTCTCCTGAGCAAATAGTATACTTAATGAAAGATGGAACATCACAGGCTTGTAGTCATCTTTTGCCAGTGCACTCTCCCAGCTTGCAGTATACTGTGGATCATGAACTTCAAGTCTGTATTGTCTAATAACTCCTCAATTTTTATTTATTCAATCACAGTTGTATTTTTCCACTTTATCCATCTTTCCTCTCTCCCCTTTCACTTTCCTCACTATGATATTTCCCACCAAACTGAAGTTTCTATTCTGAGGTGTATCTCACTGAAATTGCAGCTTGTGGCTGCCATAACATGATGATATTATGATTATGATAACATAAACATGATGATGGGATATTAGAGCATGCAATAGTAATTCAAACAGCCGTGATGTGGCATTTTTGCAAAAATTGTGATTTCAGTTATTCTAGAATATTTCTGGACAAAATGTCCAGCATACAGTTAGACAAAAACATCATGCAGTGGGTGAGAAAAGGGCTGATGGCTCGGGCCCAAAGTGTTATAGTAAGTGGGGTTACATCAAGGCTGGATGCAGCTCTGGGAAGCCTGGTCTAATGGCTGGCAATTCTGTGCACTGCAGAGGAATTAAAACTAGATTATCTTTGAGGTCCTGTTCAACCCGGGCCATTCTGTGATCCTATGATTCTGTGATCAGGCTGGCGGCTGGTCATTAGTAGGGTTCCCCAGGGATCCATTTTAGGATCTGTTCTCATTAATGTTCTCATAAATAACTTGGATGTAGGACTGGAAGGTATTTTAAGCAAGTTTCCCAGTGAAACTAAATTGGGAAAAGCTTTCGACTCTGAGACTGAGAGGCCTTGTGGAGAGATCTGGACAGATCAGAGAGCTAGGCAATCACCAACCTCAGAAGTTTAACAAGAGCAAGTGCTGGGTTCTGCACCTGGGAAGGGATGACCTTGGCCATACGTACAGACTGAGTGATAAGACACTGGTCATTTGCCCCACTGAAATAGGGCAAGTTGAGTAAGAGCCAACAGTAAGACCCAGGCAGCCAGGAAGGCCGACTTCTTCTGGAGCAAATCAAGCACATCGCTATTAGCCAGTTAAGGGAAGTGATTGTCCTGTTCTACACTGCATTGATAAGGCCTCATCTTGAGTACTGCACAGTTTTGGGGTCCACAGTACAAAAATGGCATAGAGCTATTAGAGAATGTCCAGAGGAGAACTACAAAGATGTGGAAGGGTCCAGAGGGAACAGTGTAGGAGGAGCAGCTGAAGTCCCATGGTTTGTTCAGCTTAGATAAGAGAAGACTAAAGGGAGACCTCATGGCAGCCTACAGCCTCCTCATGATGGGTAGTGGAAGGGCAGGTGCTGATCTCCTTTCTCTGGTGACCAACAGTAGAACCTGAGGAAACAGCATTGAGCTGTGACAGGAGAGGTTCAGGTTGGGTATCAGGAAAAAGTTCTTCACCAGGTCAGGCACTGGAACAGGTTCCCCAAGAGAGTGGTCATGGTACTGAGCTTGCTGAGGTTCAAGATGCATCTGGACAATGCTCTCAGACATATGGTCTGATTTTTGGGTGGTTCTCTGCGGAGCCAAGAGTTGAATTGATAGGTCCTTTCCAACTCAGGATATTCTATGATTTCTTTGGAAGATAGAAAATATTAACAGAAGTCTTAATACATTCACTATATTTTACCAGATCTTAATAGGTGGTATTAACAAAACTATACAAAGTAATCAAGTTGACAGCAATCTTGTTAAATCTCACTACAGGAAACTCTAATTGACTAGTAATCAAACTGAAGCACCTTACCTTTAGTATCAGTCCCAGACTGTGCAACTTGCATGTATGTCATGTAGAGGCTGGTCACCGATAACACTGGGCAGTGGGTATCCACATAGCTTGCTCTTTCAGTGTGGCAGCGATCTGCCATAGAGCTCTTTGCAGCCCCACTTGTGCTCGTGCCTTATCATTTCGAATGCGATAACACACAGCGTGCCCAGACCACTTCTTTCTTCCTTGCCCTTAGAAAATCTATGAGCTGATCTGAAGGCAGGAAAAATGCATCTCAGAAAGAGGTTGGCAAAGATCCGTGGAAGATGAGATAGCTGTCTAAATGTGTGGCTGCTACCTGCAAGAAAGAAAGCAGCGCTCAGCCTGTGCGGTGTAGCAAATACAGCTGTTAAGCACTCATATGTCTCGTGGTGGATGAAATTTCTATTTCAGTGGCCTTTACCTTTAGGGAAGATTGTTCTGACAGTGATATTTTTAAAAAAATGTAATCTGCATGCCCAATTATGTTTTAAGAGAAGCATCTAGATAATTTTCATTCTCTAGAGCAAAATGAAAATACTGTTTGCAATGGCGCCAAGATTAAGCACCCAGTTTCTGTGCACCAGAATTAATATCTGTCTGTGCCACAAATTTTTATTTAATTTCTGCCCTTCTCCCTCCTTGCCTAATAAAAGGTAAGCTGGAGTTGCACACTGCAGCATCCAACTTCCCGTGGATGTGACTCCTAATGTTTTCAGTGGAGCATTTGCCTAATAAATGCACCAGTTGTGTTGAGATCCATGCTGTTTTTTGGGTATGTCTTGATATTTGAGTTGTCAAATGATAACAGTTAGAAAACGTGAGCTGTCTTAGCTTGTTGTGACCTAGAATATGTCCTTCAATGAGCTGAAGGGGTTGGAGATAAAATTGGGCATATGATGAGTTCACGTAGCAGCCTTACCCCATCATCTTGACAGATTTGTCTTGCTTTTCAGATATTTAACAGTGAAGCTTTCTCTTTTAGAGGAATAACCCTCCCCATACAGTGGGGAGAGTGGAGGATTTCAAATGCTGCAAGTCAGCAGGACACTTGGATTTACTGCGTTCTAATTTTAATTGGGAGGTTGTAAATTGCTGGGGGACACCACAAAGTTTTATTTATGATTAAGGAACTCCACCTGAAGTCCTTTGTTCAGAGATTTGTTATTTCTACAGTATCAAAATTGAGTTGGTCAACTGCAGTGAGATGAGCAGACTGCAATATAAGACCTAATATAAGGACTTCATTCCTTTACAAGTTCTACAAATAACACTGGCTATGATAACACCAGTGTTTAGAAGTGCTGTGTTTCAGATGTGTTTGTTGCGTTGCCCAGGCTTTTAGTTTTCCCATCATTATTACCACATAGCATTTGGCAACCAAACTGCTCATTTAAATGCTTGTTCCGTATATTGTAGAGGTTCAGTTTTCTTTTTAGCAAATATTTTCTTTTAGAATACCAAATAAAAACAACCACTGATGCTTTTAAAATAGATTTAATGAAAGAGTAGTCTGTTCTGGAGGTGCTTCGATATACACATGGGAGATCTTTTGTTCTTTTCTCTGAAATGGAAGAAGGAAAGCTAGGTTGCAGTTATTGTCTTGCCTGACCTAGCTGCCACTTTTCTCCTAACATGGAAATCTGTTACCCAGAAATAAGTATTTACGCAAGGATTAAAAGAAATGAAAGAAAAATTCAATAAAGATGAAAATGGCACTGTAAAGTTGAGAATGACCTAGTGAGTGGAATGTTACTCAGTTCCTTAGATCTGAGTCAATACCACAAGAAAAATGGCAGATTCACTTTCCTGAGAATCAGGTATTCGTTATCAAGTTCAGGTGGTGCAATCAGTCTTATTTTTGTTTTCCTGACTACTCACATGTAAGTCGTGTGACAAAAAAACCACTATGTTCAATTCTGCTAGCGAATGTGGATTGCTAGTGTCTCATTTCTTCCTGAGACAATGAAAGTAACAAGTCATGCAATAGATGCGCATACATGGCTCAATTATTTTGTAAATATTCATGAGAACATTTGTGTTTGTCCTCCCAAGTGAGAAAAAACAAGAAACAGTTATTTGGATCTAAAGCTTGGGTTCGTAAATCTGCTTGGTATGTAAAATTTCAATGTCAAACAAAGTTTGGATGGTTACCTCATCTATCCATTGCGTGTACCTCAGTGCCAATTTGGCTGTACTCAGGCGTGTATGAAATATTGCAAAACTCATCAGAGTTGGAATTGTGACCTCAGATATGCTAAGTCCACTTGGGCAAGTGGCCAACACAAAGACTTACCTGAACATGAACTGGCCTTTCCTGTTGTGCTTGTATTTTACACATTGAATTCACTTCTGGGTGAAAAACAAGGCAGTATGTTCTTGTTGCTGGAAGCAGGCATAATTCCTGCTATGACTCTGTCAAAGCATTTTTAACCCAGCCTATTCTTTCACATGCAGTGTTCCCCCAACTAAGGAGCAACTCTCTCAGTTATCTGTAAGTATTGTTTTGTGTGTGTTTGCAGTTTTGGCTCTGATCAGCTGCTGACGCTTGTACATGTCAGATACAAGGACTGAAGGTAAATATATCAAAAAGCCAAATGATTCTGATAAATGCAGGCAGTTTGTTTTTTAATGGGGCAAATGAACTGAATAATAGAATAATAAATAAAAAAGCAAAAAGTTTAGTTCATATTATGCTAAGTATAACATTTTTCCCTCCTCGTTTCAAATAAATTTTCACTCCTAAACAACCTAAAATAAAACATTGCACCATTTTCAGCAATTGGGTGGAAACCAAAGAAGGACATTACTATTTTCAGAGAATCACAAGTAGTCATCCCTGCTTTTTTTTCTATTGTTCTTCTTGGAGTTTGTTGCTGTGTGTTCACACCTAAGATATGCAAAACCTGGGTTTACTCTCTGTATTCTTTGAGGGTTTATTTAAATATATGTTATATGGTTGACTTAAATCACAAAGCTGAAATCTAGTATGAAGTTGAGGAATCATCACAATAACCTCTGCTTCAGTTTTATGTAAAGAAACTCAATAGAGCAGAAAGCAAGGCTGAAGCACCTTGCTTGATAAGTCTGCACCCTTTGAGATGGTATTAAGAGTTGGTTTGAGTCTCTAGTTTTTCCTTTTTGTTGACATTTAGGTCATTTCATCAGTAGTGAAACAGCTTCATCTGCAGTAGTTGAGAAGGAACTTAATGTTAACTGTAACTACAGTATGAAGTTAGATTTTGATGGCTGCAAATTCATAAGGGCAGAGGAGGGAACTGGACTGAAACCCAATAACTTGAGCTGGATTGTTATTGTCGTAATTGTGCAACTTAAAAATTGTGTTTAGGAGGCTAAGGGAGAAATTTCACCAGCCTTAATTTGCTGGTGCAGTTGTCCTACAGTAGTTATTCACGGAATCATAGAATGGCCTGGGTTGTAAAGGACCACAATGATCACCAAGTTCCAACCCCCTGCGATGTGCAGGGTTGCCAACCAGCAGACCAGGCTGCCCAGAGCCACATCCATGTGTAGTCTGGGGCAATAGTCCATAATTTGGCAAGGGTTGGGCTTGAGACGAGGCAAAGACTTAAGGATTTCTTACTAGGAAAAAGAGATGAACTGAAGAGTGAGACTGATTCAGACTGTTACACGCTGTCTAAGTGAGATATACAAAGTCTCACTGTCACCAAAGGTCCTCACTGGCTGTTTTTTAAATATTTTTTTTACGTCTCAATGTGGATTTCCCTCTCTGAGGCACAAGGCTCTTGCAGGCAGTGCTTTGGGAATCCAAGGGATTGACAGCCTCTATCTGATCACTCACTTGAAAACCTAAGTCTGTATATTACACAGTGTGGCTGTTTGACATGCTCATGCCAATACAGATTCAAATACTAGGCAAGAGCTGGTGCAAACCAAGATGTCCTTGGAGAGCATCAAAGCTATAGTACAGTATGTACACTACAGTATCCTTGTGCTGTAGTGGAAAGAAAAACATTTTATCTCTTGCTTCAGGAAGAGAGAAAGAGCAAGCGGGCAGATGTTTTTAAAGTAGAAACTAGGGGAAGGTTTCTAGCTTGATACCCATGCACTGAATATTTGGTCCCGGCAGTTGGTGGTTCTTTGTAAGTGGGAGGTTTTGTGGTACTAACAGCTGTCTCCCTGCAGAAGGCTGTCATTCTGTGTTTCTTTTTAAAACAAGCTGCTCCATGCCCTGCCAGCAGACAATGAGGCATTTAGGCAAATCAGTCCTGCGTGAAACATGACAAAGCAGCTAAGGATGTACTGATATACTGCTACAGAAACACTGCAGTTCTTCATTATGTTATTGCTCCGCTTTTGTTAGCGTTTGCTTTGAAAAAAATTTCTTTCCCATTTTCCCCTTTGTGTCCATTCTGGCATGCTACCGCTTTGGTAAGCCTACATAGTTGGGAGAATATGTGTCTGGTGGCTGAATGTGTATATAATTGTTTGAGTTTTCTACTTACCTCAGCTATTCAGACTCAAAATGGAGCTAAATATCTCCATTTACTTGGGCTTCTAGCGTTTGTGATTATGTGGTTTTGCTATATACCTTTTGTTACTGATAGGGGGCAATATGAAAATGTCTAGTCTGTTCTTAGAGGCAGATGGTCTGTTATTAGATGTCACTTAACATCAACTTTTCTCCTGCAGCAGTCTGTGGAGTCTAGAAATTTAATATTGAATGAGTAGTAAAGATAGAATCTAAACTGTCTTGTGAAGCTTTTCTGTTTTTGGTATGATGGATGGGATGGTTCATAAGGATAAGACCTGAATGCTCTGAGAGTTGGAAGTTTTGAGCTGGATCAGACTTTAGCAGCTTGTACCTTAATAGCTTGTATCTATCTGTCTGGCTAAAACTTGCTTTTTCTTCTCTTGTTTGTGTCTGAAATTTTAGTTATTTGGCAGCCTTACTTTGAGTATTGTTTGCAGTTTTGGGTGTCATGATATTAGAAGGACATAAAACTGTGAGAGAGTGTTCAAGAGTGTGCTTTGACGATGGTGGAGGGTCTGGAGAACAAGATGTATGAGTAGTGGCTGAAGTGTGTTGGTTAGTTCAGCGCAGAGCAGAGGAGCTGAGGGGAGGTTCTTCACCAGAGAGTAATGGGAGACTGGAACAGGCTCCAAGCTGCCGGAGTTCAGGAAGCATATGGATAACACTCTGAGATGAAGGGTTTGAGTTTTGGGTGGTCCTGTGCAGAACCAGTTGGACTTGGATGATCCTTGTAGTTTCCTTCCAATTAGATGTTCTGTGATTCTATGAGTCTATGAAAAACAAAGTTCACACATTTACAAGCTGGTGCTTTGCTCTTATTATAAGGAAAATACCACTTTCAGAGCATTACTGCTTTTTTCTTCAGGCAAGTTATTTAAAGGTACAAAAATGAGCTGTCTGGGCTTACTCATTTTAAGCTGATAGTCAAGCATCAGTAATGAAAACGACTGCATAAATTGTCATCTATCTCACACTGTCCAAGACATTTCCCTGCCATTACTCTCAGCATAATCTATAGCACTTTGTCCAGCCAGAAGGAGCTGAAGTGTTGGCTCTTCTGCTGTATAGTTTATTTTCCATCTGGAGGATGGAAAATACATGGCCTTTCCATGCCAATTTTATTGGAGGTCTGTACAAAGACCGTGGATCAAGTCTTTATTCTTTCAAGGGACTTAAGATCCAGCTCTTGCTAAGATACTTTAGTTGAACATGTGAAGTGTGAGTGAACTCCTGGTGCCCCAGTAAATCCACTGGTGGAAAGCGCTGATCCTCACAAGGACGTGGGGCTTTAGGACTCCCAGAAATTTAACATTGAAACGAGTTGCCCACCCTCAAGTTTAGGTGTGTGTCTGGGGTTTAATTCCCACAGGTTTCTGGGAGAAGAAACAGTCCATAAAGAATGATTTGTGCTAGAGATCTAGACCTCAAACTTGCTTGTTCCACTTAAAAACACATCTAGTTAAAACCATTTTCACGATTTTAGTGTTACAAGAAGCTTGTGATGCCTTCACTCTTTATGTTATTAACTGACTGTCTTTCATCCTTCAATACTGATTGTTGTGCTTGATGATGATCTTTGTAGTTTTACCAAACTATGTAAAATGGCTATATGCAAAATGGTAGCTGTGTAAGATCTTGTTTTTAAAGAAATTCTTGCATGGACTTACTGTTTCAAAAATACACGTGAAGGTTGTGTGAAAGGTAGCCAGTGCTTCTCAAGGCTCCAGCGGAGATCAAAATCACTCTGCATTTCATGCACTTTGCAGTCACAAAATAAAGCATAACCCTTAGTAAATGTATGAGATGCCAGACACATTGTGATATCATGATGTAAAGCGAACAAAAGTGATGACAGAGCCTTTATTTGAGTTACAGGTGCTGTAGAACAAGATATCAAAGAAAGAAGAATTAACTCACCCTCCCAGAAAGAGCTTGGAATAAAAGGGTGAGCTGGGGAATGCAGCTGTCTCTGGTTCGAACTCTGGCATGCTGGAAAAGTAGGGGGGAGGGGGGCATGTGGTGCAGGCTCTGAGTACATACACACTGCTGGAAGCACAGCTGGAAGCACCACCAAAGGTGGATCTAGGCTCCCCACTCCGAGTACTCAGGTGCTCATGTACTGTTTCAAGCTGTTACCTGGCAATTCCACTGCACGTGGAAGCACTGTGATTACCCCAGTTTCACAGCACAGACATTAAACTGACAGTACACAAAGTTCTCTGGCATGGAATCATGACTGGCCTGGTCATTTTTAAGTCCCTGTCCATGCAGTAGTTCTAGTACATCATTCTTTCTCTCTTCATCAGAGAAGTCAACCGATTCTCTGGGAGCTGTAGGCAGTTAGAAGCCATGAAATGCTGGGAGTCATCTAGTCAAGTTCTTTGGTGGATTGCAAAATCCATGAGATGTTGGCAAAAACTCCAGTTGTCCAAATCCAGATTGATGCTTTCCTGCTGTAAAGCATGGCCAGGTACTCTAGAGACATGTGAAATCAGAAAGTCTTACCTGCATGCATGGACAGAGGCATGTAAAGCTATCCAAGGCTATTGTGCTACTGGCTGAAATTTTGGTCTCCTGCAGGAAGAAATTAAGCTTTAATAAATTCTGAGAAACAACTGGATGTGATATATCATACAAGCTACTGTGCTGCTGCTTTGAATAAGTTTGAGGCTTAAAGGATGCTGTGGAGATGATATTTGTAATTTTTATGGAAAAGATATCCATATATGAAATGACCTAAAGGGAAACAGAAGGGTGTACTTTCATAATTGAGATACTGCACAGTTGGGATAATGCTTCTCTCTCTACCTTGATGCTAAGGAAAGGCACTTTTATGTGATTCTTGGAGTGGTCTCTAAAATAAGTCTCTAAATGTAAGAGTTTTGTGTCACATTGCAAATGGTATTTTGTCCCTTCCATTTAAAATGTAATTTAAAGTTAGTGATGTTAGTGGCTGTGTGATATTACAGGGGATTCCTCTGCTGTAACTGTTGATTCTGTAATGGGTCTTTCTTTTGGGCTCACTTTGGGCTTTCTCATTTTTGTGAACTTTGGAAGTTACAGAATCCCTGCCAAAGAAAGGCTCAAACCTCTCAAGTCACGTAACAGTACTCAAAGGAGGCTAAGTGATGGTGCTGACTTTAGCAATGGCAGAGCTGGTGGAAGCTTCCAACTCTGTACTTCTACAACCTCTGAGTTAAGAAGAATGGGTGGCAGCATCTTTAGAAATAAAGCCATTGACAACTAAAAGGTCATCACGGTCCCAGTAGCTAGTAATTACTGCTTCTCCTTAAAGGATCTTAACCAGTGCTCTATCAGTGTTGGGATGGAGATGAGAGTTTTGGTGTAGAAGTACCTGCTTGTTCTCACAGCTCAGCCTGAGATGTGAATTTTAGAGGGTAGAAAAGGGCAGAGCTGATGAACTTTACCACTCCATTCTACCAGTCTTTTTATATAGCTAATGGAAATCCATGCTTCGGTCATTTTAAGACCAAGCTGTACTTTCTGACTGGAGTCCAAAAGGATATAGTCTGAGTCGGTGAGGGGGTAGCAAAGGGGAGCCGTGACTGCCTTATAGCTTCTGTTCCACAGATCCTTTAAAATTGCTTTGAAATAAAACTGTTTGGTTGAAGAAAGCAAGAGGGTTATGACTATAACTAGGGACACAGTATACTTCGTCTCCTCTGAAGGCTCTTCAAAATTAGGAGTCTGGGTAAATGCTTGTGCAGTGTGAGGTTTGGGCTCTGTTCATCTTTTCTCACTGGCCAGGTGAACTGGCTGAGCATGGGGCTGAGCACGCGATCTTCTCTGGGATCTTGTTCCATGTCAGTGCCAGGGGATGCTGTGTTTAAGCATTTTCTCAGAGATCATGCTGGAGTTACAGTTTCCCAGAGCACAGGCATTGCTCAGATTGTTGACAAGCTGCGTGCACAGAGGGGAAAACAGAAAACAAGGATGGTTACTGGAAAAGGAAAAAGCTTTATTCTCCCATATCACTTTTGAAATGGTTGCCTGGATCTCAATACAACTTTCTTTCAAATCCGAACTTAAAATAAAACCTGGGTTTTTCTTTTTCTATTGTTATTTCTGCCACCTCCATGACTTGAGAAGCACTTAAAAAAGGCTCGTATTAGCATTCATGTGTTACTTTTTTGCCCCCTGTTGTGACAATTTGACAAAATAGTAACTTGTCTGCGATGTTCAGAGTGACTTCTTCCAGTAGGTTTGCACAAAAATGCATTACTGTTGTGGAAAGTGAGTTCTATGTCTAGAATAATATGTTCAGGGAAGTTCTTTATAGTTCAGAGACTGAATTAAATTTTATCATGTTTTAGGATGTTTTCTTACACATCCACCCTTTAACGATCAATTACCAATTAAAAAATTCCCATATTCCCCATATCTGGACCAGGAGAGCAGACTGTGCCACATCCGTGCAAAAATTAGTGTGGGTGAAATCACTGGTCAAATTAACAGGTGCTGTGAGGAAGAAAGAAAAGCAAAAATCTGAAACCCCAGATTTTGTGGCCTTTATTTTAATTAATTAATTTATTTTTTTCTCTAATTTTATGGCCTTTTGCCATGATGCACAGCTGAAACTGGGCTGTGTCTCTGGACACAGTCTCTCCAGACCCTGACTTGTTTGTCTTATTTTTGAGGATTTGAAATCAGCCCTGAAGAAATGTAGCCTCTTGCCTTTGGATGGCCCGTGAAGCTTAGTTTTGGCCCCGTGACAGGAGCTAGAGCAGAGCTGAAAATGCCTGATGATGCATGCTGAATTCCAGGCTTATGTGGTTCTGTAAGGATGTCAAATAAGTAACTTTATTGAGAATGGTCCCTTAATCAGCATTCAAAGACTGAGATATGGAAGGCTGTTTCTTGGACAGTTTATTGGGCTCTCTGTTTTGCCCAGCCTACATTGCTGGGTTTGTCAGCTTACAAATTGTCCCATTTCTGTGTCTTCCCATGCCACTGTGGTTGCCCTAAGTATGAGAGTGTAACAAAAGTGAGCCAGAAGGTTTGATCATTGGTTATTGATGTCTTTCTGACTTGAGGCTCCTATTGCTTTGGAGTTGCTTCCTAGAAGTTTGAAAAATTTTTGTAATATCATTAGCTTTTATTTTCTCTTTGAGTAAACTCCTTTTCATGGAGACATACAAATCGTCCTTTCCTTTAAAACACAATGTAATGGTAATACAGAAGCTAATCTAATAATATATGTGAGAAAGTACTTTTATGGTGTATGCAAGCTGTAATTTCAAGAAAAAGGAATGCTCTGTTTGTAAATAAGCGTTGGGCTAATTTTTTGTAATCAGCGTTAAACGTATGGTGGACTTGGGCTAAATTCATTTCTACACCTTTAACAACCTCCCTCTCTCTACTGGCTGCCTCTCTTCTGATGCAGGCCAGAAGACTGTTGGCAGTCTGGACTGCAAGAGCAAGCTGCCTGCTTATGCCCAGCTTTTTGGTCCATCAGTACCCCTCCAAGGCCTTCTCCTCAGGGCTGCTCTTAGTGAGTTCTTCTTCCAGTCTGTGCACATGCCTGGGTTTGCCACAACCCAAGTGCAACACCTTGCACTTGGCCTTATTGAACCTCATTAGGTAAACGTGGGCCCACTTCTCAAGCCTGTCCAGATCTATTTGGATGACACCTCTTCCTTCTGTTGTGTGAACTGCACCACTCAGCTTGGTGTAATCTGCAAACTTGCTGAGGATGTACTCGATCACAAAATCTGTGTCACTGATAAAGATGTTGAGGTGCACCAGTCCCAAGACACACCCCTTAGGTCACCACTCATGACCAACTTCCACCTGGACGTAGAGCCATTGATCACAACTCTCTGTCTTTAACCACCCAACCCATTCTTTTTTCATCAAATAGCCCATTCTCCAAATCCATCTCTGTTAGAGATGAGGATGTAACATGGAACCATATCAAAGGTCTTGCAGAAATCCAGGTAGAAGATATCAGTTAAACCTCATGGAAACGTTTGCCTTTTTCTGGTCACTGCAGACTTTGCCTGATAGCCATGACTGTCAGGTGAATAACAGTGTTGCCAGCCTCATCAACTAGTTCCTTCAGGACCCTGGGATGAATGTTGTCCGGCCTCATGAAGTTGCACACATCCAGTCTCACATAGTGGTTTCAGATTTGCCCCACTGTTCAGGTGGGAGGGATATTGCTCCTCTCACTCCCTCCTTGAGATTCAGGGACATGAGAAGCCTGACTGCCAATGAAGGCTGAGGTAAAGAACTCGTTGAGTACCTCAGCTTTCCCCATGTGTGTTGAAGCCAGTTCTCCCTTCTCATTTATTTGAGCAGGTACACACTCTTTGCCCTGTCTCTTCTGACCAGTGCACTTACAGAATTCCTTCTTTTTTCACATCCCTTGCCATGTTTAGTTTCATCTGAACCAATGTAATATTAATCATTCCTACCTAGGTTGTAGCAACTTGGAATGCTGGCCAAGGGCCTGACATGAAGTATGTCTTGTAAGGTATTATCTAACATCAAGAAGCAGCAGCCTTTGAATATATATATATATATATATATATATATATATATTCATTTATTAAAAAACACTATTTTCCTAATACCAGCCAAACATTTGATCCGTATCTGTGAGCTTGAAGGTGACTTTCCAAGGGGAGCCTGTTACTGACTTAATGGATTTTGTCATGAGAAAATTAGGAGATTTCCTTCGCTGGAGTCTGTCAGCAGTAAGTAGTATTTCAGAGTAGCTTAATTACAAACTACAATGAATTACAGTTAAAACGTAAGGAGGGATCTATTGTAGCTTGAAAACGTTAGCCAGATTTGAAAATAGAGCTGATTCTCAGAGGTGATGTTGGGAGCTAGAATCCACTGTTTGTTGGCACAGTGAGAGCACGTGATACTGAGATGTGATGAGTGTGTGATGGCATAATTAAACACATACATAAGAGG